ATATTCAATAAAGAGACCAATTAACACTGTAACTTGTGTACGTTTTTTTGCTTTAGTTTAGTTAGGGCTAAACTTTACCATACTTAATACTATCAATTAATAAACTTATAATTTTATTCTACAACGTAACGTTAGACCTTTTTAGAAACTTTGATAAACTTTTAATATGTTGTTGTACAAAATGTCAACTAAAGTATATTTTCATCCTCCTTTTGTTTACATGCGCATTTAGATAGTAGAGTGCGCATGCATTTTCAGAACAGACAATAACTGAGTATTATTATTATAATAGATACTAAAAATTTGTAGACACAACTCTACAAATAACCAGTTCTTTGTAGAGTTGTGTCTAGTTTTGGGTGTGGTGAATATGTGCACTTTACCTTATCATCTTTAATTTATTTGCCCCAAATTACAGTTACCTTTACTAGAGAATTAGGTTTGAGGATGTTTTATACCAGATCATAGAATACAATAACTATTGATCTGTTCTGGACTAAATAAGTCTCACGTTATTTGGTTAAACCTTTAACATAAGACTTATTCAGAGTGACTAGTGCTAACCACATGACTGGTCATTTCCAATGAAACATGAAAGAGGTCATTACCTCAAGAGGTTACCTGACTGCTAGTAGAAAGAAGCAACTGTCTAACTTAACATATTATGAGTGACCTTGCAGCTATCCTTACCAAGGAAACCCAAAAAGTACTACTCTAGGTGAGTAACAAAGAACAATAAGTAGCTAGAGCAAGAGTAACTTCACAACCTTCTTGACCAACGAGTTATGTGGAAACTGTATATATATGTACACAAATAACAAAATTTATAAAATTCATATATTAATACAAAGAAGTAGAAACGGAGTGTGTATATATATATACCACAATCTCCAGTTTGGTGTTTTAACTGAATAGGCAGTACAGATTGTCAAGCACGTGCTTTCAAAGTTTGTTAATCCCAGCTAAACTGACTGCAATGAGTACCTACAATATGGCGTGCCACAAAACTGAGCAACTGTTGACTAATTGTTCTCTAAATCTCCTGATGTTCAAATGAGGTGTTCAGCTCCCTACAAGTCTAATGTACGACCCTCCACCCAATACGTAAGTACTGCAGTATCCACAGGAATATGTGGAATGTTCCATTCTGCAATAGCTGATGTACATGAATTTGTCAGCAAATGTGTAAAGCATCCATACATCAAATGAAATGTTACAACAGTAATTGTAGAAAAGTTTGAATCTGGGTAAGGTTGGGATATATGTTTATTTGCTTTCTGGTCTTTCGTGATATTACACAATTTGTGATTTAAATTTTATTTTGTATTTTCAGTTTTGATTTATAGTGTTTAGGTTTTGTTCTGTAATATGTTTACAATTTTGTATATTGTAATATGTTTAAATGCTGCTTGTATTTATCTTACTAATTAGTGTAAATTTTGATCTGATTTTTAATTTTCTGTTACAGGTTTGATGTTATAAGTTAATTTTATTTTTAGTTAAGTTTGATTTATTTTAAGTTTGTTAATTTTGAAATTACCTTTAACTGATTCTATTCAGTATTGTGTATTAACGTGTGTGAAACGTGAAAGCCACATTAGCATACTAAGGTGCAATTTATATTACATAGATGGCAGCACCTATAACTCTCACCCAAAAGAAAGTGGGTTTGTCTCTACGCCTTGTTTGTTTAGCGCAAGGCTACAAAGTAGACTATCTGGGCTCTGTCGACCAGAGGGAATCGAACCATGCATTTTATCGTTGTAAGTAAGTAAACTTACCGCTGACCTAGGAGAGACTTCTTTGTACGAAACACAGGTATGCAACCATGCATATATTATATTCTTTATGACTCCGCGTTAATGATTTTTCAACCTTAATACGAATAACTGAAAAAAGAGATAAACATTTTTAATAAATCAAGTAAGAATCATTTTCTGTATTGAAAGTATTTCACTTAATAAAAAGAGTGACTTGAAGAAAGGTCGAAGTTTATAGTGTATGTTTAAACAAAAAATACTTACAAAATCGCACAAATTCTTAATAGTTCCATTCATTATTAGGACTTAGAAATAAACACATTTTGTTTCAAACGAAATGCTAAGTAAGTCTAATTTTATAGCTATAACGTGTCTTATAAGTATGGTCTGTTTGTTTGATATCAGAAATCTATCTTCTGAAGAGCTGTCTACTATATGTCGTTCATAATTTTGGTTTGAAAGATTAAATGGAAGGTAACTAGTAAAAACTGACTCCCGCCAACTCTTTGGGCTGCTCTTGTACGATCAAATAGTGGGATTTTACCGTCACCCGCTGTCTCATAAATCGGAACGTGTTTCTTTTTTTTAAATGCGGTAACTGATTGCAAATGATAGATCCATAGTCCGACACGTTAACCAATGGGCCATGCTCGATCCGATGTGGTCTGTATATTAGGGTTTGATAGTCATACACCAGCACATTATGTAAAGGTGTAATCGATATATTAATGTATCATATGAGGCTGTGACTTATACATATAATAACCACAGTTCTGTTATTCCTAAGCAAACGAAAGATTTAAGATGGGGCTAAATTAAAGCAATGTTAGGAGGTTTTTGTCAGAAATCTACAATTAAGACACATAAATTTGCAAAAAAAACAAACAAAAAATGCATATATTTACACGCGTAAGTACAAGTTATTGCTTGAGTCTCATAAATGCAGAGATACGGTCATAAAATAGCTACCTAAAATACAATTAAAAGCAACAATTCCTTCAACTTTCAAATGGGTGTAATAATAGGTCACCTTAGTAGGATTCATTATGACAGACCGTTTCTTTGACTGGCTATTCAAAGGTATATGTCGTCAGAGTTTATCCACGAAAGCAAACGAAAAAGGATATTTATCTCATCAGGAAAACTCGTGGCTGTCAATCACTGATAACAGTTTAAAGGAAAGGATAATTGGACAAGCTGTCAAAGTACAAAAGACACAAAAAACACGTACCGATTTCTTTAAGAGTAATTGGAATTGACTATCACCAAATGTGTCATGCGAAGGACAAGAACATTATTAAGACAACCAATTAAGAAAAAATACTGATCTCAAATGCAAGACTCGACGGGACAGCGGTAAGTCTACGGACTAACAACGCTAAAATCCGGGGTTCGATTCCCCTCGGTGGACATAGTAGATAGCCCAATGTGGCTCTGTTTTAAATACAAACAGACTCACGTGCAAGTACGGAAGTACCACCTTAGTGGTGATTAAAATACACAAGATGGTTCTAGAAAGAATGAAAAAAGGTACCCAATCCGTGTTAACAGGCGAGAAGAAAGGGGGAATTTTGAGTTTTGGAGGATAACAGTTTGATTACGACAGTTATATATCAATTCGTAATGTCTTAAAATATATTATAGTGTTTCTTTCTGCCTTTAAATTGAAAAAAAAAAATCCCAAATAGGTTCCTGATAGCAGATTCAGTAAAAAAAAAAAAAGAGAGACGGGTTCGATAAGTATGACATAAACACTTTTCTTGTCCAACACAACCAATGGATCTCGGGCGTTTTGAATACGTTAAGATTGAACTTGAACGTCGCATTGTCCATGACAATCCTCAGCCGACATCTGTGAACTATACAGACAATACTCCAGAAAAACAGTCACCTTCCGGCATCTTGTGAAGTATACTCCACATCGAGTTCACAATATTAGAACTGCGAAGAGAACCTAATTCAGTATTTGGCGAGTTTCCTAATAAAGTCATCAATCGGTGTATAAAATAGATATACAAATATATATATCCGCATTTTTTATTTATTTTTTCACAACTGATTGCGCTACTTAACATTAACTCTTCAACATTATGCAAAATTAAAGTGACAAAAGATGAGTACTACAAAGGATTATTATTATAATAAAATAAGAAAATTTACAATAAAAGAACTGTAAATATATATTAGAAGTTACAATAAATGTCTGTATTATTTTATATTGAATAAGTATATTATAGACAAAATATGTATTATGATATTACTAAACGTTCTTATTGTTCTAAGTCATTATTTTCACTTTAATACTTCCTTCTAGTGTCTAATTTCTGGTTTTGCAAATTGCTGAAAAGTGAGGGCTAACCATAGAATTATCGAAAGATGTATATATACTGTAAGCTGCTCGTGTGACCTTGAATCTTTTAGTTCATTAGTATTCGCGTACGAGTCGCATAAAAAAATGTGAACAAAAATATCACCAATTTTGCTGATGATTACACTAGTTACTGCTTAGATCTCTGTAAATTTTACATAGAAAATGTGTAGTATCATCCAAACTGTTTTTATCGGATTTTTACACTTGTCTTGGGTGCTCTTACAGGCAGAAACAAGGCATTACTCAATAAGTAGTCACCAGGCGCTAAGTAGTTTTTAGGGTTAATGAGTGAAACGAGTTCAACATTTGCAACAGGGATATTTTCACGCACTTTTTACGTGGAACTGATACAAAATCTTGTTGTTTTTAAGTCCGGGAGTATAGATTTGTTTTGTTATATTATTTAAATGAAGTGTACGTCTTCTTTATATGTTTGGACACTCGGTCAAAGAGACCATCCAAAACGTAGGTTTCACAAAGATGACGTCATGCATATGCGCAGTTCCAGCCTAGTTAATTGAATGAGTGTTCCAATTATACATCGCATGGTCGTTTGACTACGACATATAAACAAGGCTGTGAGTGTGTGTGGTATGATGTCACTAAGTTAACCTAGCTCAAGCTAATGACCTTTGGGCAGCTGTGAGTAAAGGTCACAAGAGTACTTACTGTATTTCTGACAGAATAGCCGTAGACTGGAATTATTGCAGATATCCTCCGTCGACTATAAAGTAGTGGTCGCTAGGCCTAGCACTTTGTTTTATTGCCTGTTTACCCTGCTATCACTTATCGATACGTTATATAGAGGGCTCTTCACACCGATCACCTATCCTTGAACTCAGATGTGTAATGGTTTTATTGTGTGAAATAATTTACAAGAATCATTTAACCCTGACTTAACAAACACAGCGGGTTCCTCCTGTTGTGGTGCAGATGTGAAAAGTGTTTGTTTAAAGAAATACAAGAAAACACTAACTGTTTAATAGAAGCACTCGTTTTCGAATTAGATATATTCGAAATGTATATGCATTACTTAACAATGGGTTAGATAACACTAATACCCATGTGTAATAACTATTTGCCTCCCAGCGACATGTCTGCGGACTTACAACGATAGAAACCGGGTTTCGATACCCGTGGTGGGCAGAGCACAGATAGCCCTTGTGTAGCTTTGTGCATAATTAAAAACAAACAAACAATAACTATTTATAACATGAAATAAAAGAAATGAACTATGGATGAACTCCCCTTGTGGCTAAACATCTAAACTAGTTAGTATTAATTACATTATTCAAATGATAATAATAATAATACCTTCTCTAAATTCTATATCTAAGTTAATTATTTTACCATCGACATAGCTTGTCAAGTTTTACAGATATACATTCTTTTTACATTTTTTCACTTTAAATTTTTAACAAGAAAATAAACAGTTTTTTATTCTTGAAACATACAAGTATTTTCCATTTGGCTTTAGTACCCTAGTGGGTCAGCGGTACGTTTACGCACTTATATTGCTAAAATCTGGGATTAGATTTCTCATGATGGAAAAAGTGCAGATAGTCCGTTATATAGCTCTGCACTAAGAAAACAACAAACACTTACCAATGCCTTGATTACTTATGTTTTTCTGCTGTTGTAATTTTTTATTTTCTAATAATTTTAGATGTCTAAAACATGAAAATTTCAAAAACATACTTTTCTCCTGTTGTGATTCCTTTTTTTTCTCTCTCTCTCACTTTTTGATAAATTTAGATTTCCAAAACATTAAGTTATCTTGGTAATTTCTCCAATTTATACGAGTAGCAGCCGTTTGAGGGCGCTCGGTACTGTGCGCAAATGTTCAGTTTTTTTTAATTATTCTTAAACTGGTGATTTAATAGAGGAAGGCATGAAACACCATGAGTCTGAAGAACTTCATCTAGTTGGTATGGCAACCTGCATCGTGGAACAGTTAGTCTTTATTCTACCTCTAACTTAAACTTAATTATACACATAGTTGTTATTAATATCAAATTGTCGAAGTGACGTCAGTTTTCACTGGAATTTTTTGGCTTGATTGTGTTATAACATTATTAAATGTACACGATTCTCGGCAAAAGTGTCTTTATGTTTGTTTGTTGTTAAGTGCAAAGCTATCATGGGAATCGAAACCCAGATTTTAGCGTTCTAAGCCTTCAGTCTTGTCGCTGGACCGTATGTCAAAAACTCAAATTTCTAAATATTAGAGCCATGATATTCTTCCGCGTTTAATAAATTAAGTTTGTAAATACTATTATTACGATAACCTTCCGCATGTCAAAAAGTCAGTTTTCTAAACATTGTTACAATGATAAATTTCCGCATTGTCAAAAAGTTAAGTTCCTGAATAGTTAACTGGATTTTTTTTTTTAAAACAGGCTAAGATTGTTAGAAGGGATTTAAATAACAATTGTTAGAGATAACATAAGCGCAAAAGGTCGAGAAGTCAGCGTTATAGGCAGTGACTGGGCAACTACTAGGCCATGAATTGAAACAAAGATGGCGACGAGGATTAGCTGACAGATAAATGTTAAACATGGACAAACAAGTACTTGTCGAGAGGTCAAGGTCGCATACATTATTTTATCAATGTTGATATTAGAGTTTAAAGTTTATGGTTTTATTGATTAATGCTAGACACGTGACCACACTTTAATAGAGTTTCATTGTTGGTTGTACTGAAAAGTAGCTTAGGTTTC